CACATAGTGATGTTATATTTAGAACTATTAAATACTCTTGGTACTAATTTTTTTACCGCAGCTGTAACTACATATTTCTTGTTGCTGTTTGTTTTTAGTGTCTTATTGTTATTGTTGCTGTTTTGCATATTTTTTGCAATGGAAGCTCTCGACAACAAAAGGCGGCCGAAAACAAAACAAGAAGAGCAACAAAACTCATCAGGCTCATCTTCATTAACTTTGCTTTCCGTTCCTTTGCCCCAATCCCTTTCTTCGCCATCCCACAGCCCTCCCCCTGAACATCTCCTTCCTCCTCTGCTTCTTTTGCAAGCCCCCCCATTAACCCCGCCACTTTTCTTAGCTCCCAACTTTCTTGCATTGTCTCTGCAAAATGCGAAAAACAAAAAGAAAATACTTTTGTTTACTCTTATGCCTGCGTTGCCTTGTATTGTTGTTGTCGCTGGCGACGTCTCTGCCGCCGCTGTTTACACAATTCCACAGACGAAGTCCAAAAACAACAATAAACAATAAAAGAAGAACCCAAAAAATAAAGCAACTCAGAATTAATGCAATGCCCAAAATCATTCGATCCACTTTATACCTTGAAATACTGTTACATATTTATAAAAAAAAAAATTATTTATTAAAAAGCATTGCCTATTTTAAAGCATGTCGAACATCCTCGGCTTTAGTGACAAGACCATAAGCTTGAACAAAAGTAATAAAAACAAAAATTAAATTATATTTGTAAAAATAATTATTTTTCAATTCATTATTCACAATACAGAGCCAATATGCCCTACAAAAAAGATAAAGATACTGTTTAAGATAAAGATTTAGAAGAGAACAGCAAGTGACGTTGAAATGCAAAATGTATAATGACCTTCAGTCGCGCTGCTGCCGGCGTCGACGTTTACATATGTCGACAGTGGGGCCATGGGTGGGGGCGAGGCTGTAGAGCTAAGAGTTTTAGGGGGGTCAAGACACAACACGACTTAATTTCTGGTATTCAGGGACATACATAATTCTACTGCTCTCTTTCTCTTTTCGTAGTCCCGTCATACGCACAAACATTGTAAACAAGTGAAATTGCTTCCTAGTTGTGAATTCACTCACAAAGTCAAGTACACTGAGAAAAAAAAAGTATTAAATGTTCATATTATAGGTTAAAGAAAAGCGTTTTTCACTAAACCATATGTAACATTTAAAATCTTATACGTACTTAATTATAATGGTAATTTGTTCACAGCAACGTGATTATGATTATCTGCTTGATACTATAATATAATAAAATTTTTACGAGGGTACACGAATAAAGTCCGCCTGTGCGCTTGCTCTCTCTCAATTATTTTCTTGCCCTCTCTTCGAGAGAGATTACATTGCCTATCGCTCTCTGACTTCTCCTGTGCAAACAAGTGTTTGTTTGCGGCGCCGCCGCCGACGTCGGCAGATGTAGCGGCAGCGGCCGAGCCACCCCCACTAGCACCCCATCACCCAACCACCAGATACTAATACCCACACCCTGAGCCCTGTCGAACTTTCTTATTTGATTACTCGCAAAAAAGAAAAGAGTCTCCTCGCTCTCTGTCAAATTGTGACAAACGAATTTGTACTAATTAGCATTTCTCATGCGGCCTTCACAGTGGGTCGCATCGATTAAAATGTGCCCTGCAAACGATGAGTTTGCATTTTATTTCGTGTATACACAGTCAGGGAGATTAAATAATGGCACACATTACGCATTGATTGACCAAATAAAGTTAATCAACGGTGGGTGGAACGACACGCCATCATTGTTGTGTGTTACGAAAATTCTAGGATGATATTTGAGAATTTTCTAGAGCACATCCAGTCCAGTGACTAATTTCTGATTAGATTGAAAATGTAGTTTATATTCAACACTAACTGTTTTTTCTATTGGATTCTATTGTTTCTACGAACTTTGACTTGCATATTTCCCGACATTTATTAGATTTCTAAATATTTCATACAATTTATTTATGTTCTAGGAAAACATGCTGTAATGATGATCTTCCAAACCATAACTCCCACATGATTAGATTATCAATTTAACAAATAACCGATAGAATGTCACTTAGAAAGGACTATATTTTCATTTAGAAAATGTTTTCCTATACTTCTAATCCTCCATCTTTATATTCACGATCCGCTCCTTGCATTCCACAGTGCGCGCCAAGAAGTAACGGAACAACAAAATTCGCCCAAGAACGCAAAACTAATACAGAAAGCGCAACAGAGAAGGCAAGACAATGGCTTAGCAAATGAAAGAAAAAAGGGGTGGAGGAGGAGAAGAAGCAGGAAAAGAGGGGACAGTTCGCACGTGAACAGAGAACTTGCGCACGAGAGAAAAACATCAAGAATAAAAAAACGCATTGCACTTTGACAGAGGCTGCGGCAGAGGCGGTGACTTCGGCAGAGCAGCGGCAGAGAGAAAGGCAGCAGCCAAAAACAAAAGAACAGAAAGAGTGAGCAAAGAAAGAACTGACAAATAGAAAAACAAAAAATTAAACAATTTATTTTTACTTAGGCAACTGGCCTTTTAGTTCCAATAAAACAAAATAAATTTATAAGATTTGTTAAATTTAAGTTGCAAAACAGAATTACTAAAAATCATTGGACCACGGTCGGGCATTGATCGACGCGATCTCTTAACATTTTGATTCAGCATTCAGGATGTGCATTGTAAAATAATAAAACCTAAATTAAAAATGTGTTCCTATTATTTATTCCTAAAAGCTTAATATCTAATATTACTAATATTTCTAAGAACTATTATTTGCCGTGTACAACTGCAATCCGCTTGCAAGGCAACGCAAAAAACAAAACAAAATACAAATATACAACTAGAAATACAACTACAAATACAACTCAAGGCAAACCATTTGGGCAGCGCGGTAGCAGAGCGTGGGCAGCGACGCCGGCAGAAGACGGAAATACCAAGCGAACGATGACGAACGTAAAAACTACGCACCAAGCACGAAAACAACACTAAAACACGCCACGAAAAACAAACAAACAACAAGCAGCAGCCGCAGTCGCCAGGAGTACGAGTGCGAGGGGGAGGGGGACTAAAGACGACTGCGAGTGAGAGCGAGAAAGCGAGAGCAGAGCACCTGCCCCTACTGTACACCCGCCCCCACTTGGCTAACGAGCAAACAAAACTAAACAAAAATAAATAGAAACCGAAACAGAAACAGAAGGAAAGCAACGATATAGAAAAGCAGGAAATATTTTGAACTTTGAGACAAGTGGAGAAAATATATTGTATTACTGAATTTCTTTTATATGTACATACATATGTATCTACATATGTACATAAATAACTAAATATATTACAATAATAACAAAAAACCCTTTTCAAAATGAAATAACAAATCTAATATCACCGATTTGAAAGATAAATAGCTTTTGCAAAATACGGTCTATAAGCAATCTTTACCAAAAAATCTAATAATAATTAACTAAGAATTGCACATTGTCACATTCTTGACTTTATTTTATTTGTCCGCCGTGAATGAACCTTTCTTCCATATCAGAGTAAAAGCATTTCAGTTTATTTAATTTTTTGTTTTTGCCTTAGGAATTTTACTACGACGTAGTACAAATAACGTTTCGGTTTCGTTTTTGGCGCGAAGCCGCTTTTGATTATTATTTTGGTTTTTTGACGTTTCTTTTTTCGCCTTTTGTGACGACCTCCGTTCGTTCAACTCAGTTTTTGCGCTGAACCGCTCCTGTCTACTTGTTTGTTTAATTTTTTGCCATTTCTGCTTCACATTTTATTTGTTTGTTTGACTCGACTGCTCGTGTGTGTTGGTGTGTGTGTGCGGCCCAAGAAGCGGTCTCCCCCTCTCTGTCACTCCTTCTCTACATCCCCCTTCCCCAACGATTCACCACCCGTTTTTTGTTGTTGCTGCCGTGTTTCTTTTTCTCTTTATCAAAACAACTGCGCTGTCGACGCCGGCATCGCAGTCAGCCTTCATACAGCAGAGGTCGCCAAAGATGCCAGAAGAGTAAAAGAAAAAGAAGAAATCAGTGAATTTTGAGGAAAAATCTGATTGCTATTTAATGGGCCTAATTTATGATCTACTTAGAAATGTCTGATATTATGGCTGTTAAATTTGAACATCCCTACTATCCAGTGATGAATAGTATTACTTACTCTTAACAATCAATACACGGACAATTGTAACCATGGTAAGAAACATCTCGATTCCCGGTGCTACTGTTTTGACCACCACTGTACGTCTGCTTTTGTTTTTTGTTTTTGGCGCGCACTCTCTCTCTCAATCTCACCAACTCTCCCGCCTCCCGTTCGCTTCCCTGGCAATGCACCCCACGCCCCCCGCCTAGCGGACTCCTTTGTTGTTGCTTTAAGCATGACAAAGCACCGTAGAATTTCACAACAGGCCAAAGAGAACTTCATTACGATGTTCGTTTTGTTTTTCCACGAAACAACTGTTTACTCTGCTTCTGTCGCCGCCGCCGCTGCCGCCGCCGCTGTGTGTTGTGCTCATTTCAATGCGCTGCTTGCGCCACTGCTAGCGCCTCTGCCAGCGGCACTGTCGACGCCAAAGCCAAGGCACAGTGGTGTATTGGTATTGCGTCCTAAAAGTGTGAAATTGTGATTATTATTATTTTTGTTTTACCTAACAAAGGTTGTAACAATAGTTTATCAACGTTGCAATACATTTTCCGTGTCTTTAAAGAAAGTGAAAGTATTAACATATTCAGAACTTAATAAATTAAAAAATTGTATATGAAACAAAAAGATTAGATTTTAACAAATAGGAGAAACTTTATCGTAAGAACAAACAAAGTCGCAAAAGAAATTCATACATCAACCACATCTAACAAGAAGAAATCTCCATACAAGATATGCTCACCTGATTTGATCGCCACTTTTGGGGTCTACGCCCCACAGTGCGACGCCGTGCTGCCTCAGTCGCAGTCGGTGCGTTTACAAATCGATGCCAATAGGTTTGTCAGTGTTTGTCGGGAAACAGACGCAGACGCTAGTAGACGGTGCTTGCGAACGGTAGTACGAATAACGGTGAAGCTATAGTACCAATTGCGCGCGTAACGGAATACGGAATACGGAGCAGTGTAAAAGCGCAACAGCGCCTCCGAAATAGCGGTAATTAGTTTGTGTGTGTGGTGTACAAGAGAGAGCGGGACAGGCGATGTTTGTTTTGGCCACATCCTATTTCTCTCTCTTCCTCATTGTTTGTTAAACAAATAACGGAACTGCGAATATCAGAAGCAGGATTATATCTGAAATCTACGAAAACTTAACAGAATCAAATAACATTAAAAACAGGAACAAATAAAGTTTTAAATTGAAACCAAACTGTGTAAAAAAAATTTTTAAATACGAAACTAAAAATAAATACTTATTGTGCTCAGAAAAATTAAATTTCTGCCATCTGTACGAAATAAATATAACATTCAAGAGGATAATGTATATTGATTGTAAATTGATTATTAAATAAAAAAATATAAAAAATAAAAAAACTCAAAAATTAAGAATCCTATGCTGCAGGCATAAATATAAATAATATGAAAGTGAAATATTTTAGACGTTTCTGATAAACTGAAACTTACAAACAGTAGTCATATTTTTAAAACAACAAATTTTAAATAATGGCAAAATTTCTAAACAAAAATTATTTAATAATTGTCTTTATCTAATAATATAAAATTGTTAAAAAATATATATATTAATTTCTTAAACCAAACCGAAAGAAATGTTTTGAAACATTCCCGTGTAAACCCCAAATAATTACATAGAAACCAAAAATATTATTAGTTGTGAAATAAACCAATTTTCGAAGCAATAACTAAAAGCCAAGCAAACAAATATTTCACAAATAGTGGTTTTGAAAAACCACGCATAAACAGAACCACTGCGCAAACAAACAAATATTTCATAAAAAAGTGCTTTTTACAAATTATTTCAATACGCGCTATAGCATGTGTGTGTGTTGTGTGTGAGCGATTGTAAATTGTTTTTTATTTTATGCCCGCCGCGCGCCTTGAAATGTATTTTTAAGTTTCTGTGCTCAATTTCGTTTTTGGATGTTGTTTACTTTTTGCGTTGTTTAATTTGTTTCGGCCTCTCCGCCTTCTTCGTCTTCTTCTTCATTCAAAAATGACAAAAGGCGAAAACAAACTAAATTGTGGATAACATGGATTTTATGCAAATTCAACGTTTTCTGATTCAGACCGTTTTATTTTGGCAGCGTTTTTAAACGAATTCAAAATGGTTGGAAGTCTGATGAAAGAAGTTTGTAAAATAAATCGGGCAATATAAACGCTGAGACTGTGAATTTTAAATGTTTATCTAAAAACTGTATTATTTTTTTACAATAAAACGTATGACCTAAAGTTCTAAAAACCATAATTAAAATTAAATGCTAAATGTGAAGCTGAAAGAATAAAAATGTTTATAAAGACTTATTAAAATAAAACTCAAAAAGTCCCAAGACACATTAAAGTTCTAAAAAACACAAACCAATTTAAAAATAAACTTCCTATAAAAACAGCAATCTAAGCAATTTCCCGTGATTCACATTACAAGACAATAAAAAAAATACGGTGACATTTCGAAGTTCCTGATAAAAATTCCAACTCACCTTTCCCGGGAATCAAAACAACAAATCAAAGCTCCCGGGACATGCAAATGAATTTTTAGCGAAAAACAAGAGACCAACGAAATCTATAAACGCAATCAGTAAACACAAAAAAAGAAATAATAAGAAAAGGCAAATAAAAAACCGCAGACTTCCAAGGAAATCCCCCAAAACTGTGCTACTTAAAAATACAACGAGGCCGAACAGACAAAATGCATGGGGAAAACCAAAAACGTAGTCAATAAAAAAAATTAAAAACGAATGTTTAAAAATTCCCAATTTCCAAGCAATAAAGGAAAATAATTGGAAAAACACCAAAAAGCTAGTGTGTGTGCTCGAAAGTGCGTAAAAAAAAGCAGCGTGGCGTAAAAAACAAGTTCTAAAAATAGACCAAAATGTGTCGCGTCTAAAAATTGACGCAGAGTGTGGCGCAAACAACAAAAGCAAACAACTAAACACTAAAAAAACACAAGGCAAATAAAACAAGAAAACCACACGCAAAACTGAACTAAAAACAAATTAAGTTTTTCCCCCTCTCTCCTTATCTATTGCTCTGCCTCTCTCTTTCCAACTTTCATATCCGTGTGTGTGTGTGCGCCGTGAGTTTACCGTTATGAATCATCCAGCTGTTTGCGCAGCGTCGCAATCTGCGCAAAAAGAAATATTTCTCGAACTTTGTCGCAAGAAAAAAACCGATTACTAAACAATTTATTTCATGAAATTTATGTGTGCTAAATTCTGTGCTAAAATACAAAGGCATTTTATGTACATACATATGTACAGTGGATCGCAGCTTATTTCGTGCAGTCAAGAAACTAAAGTATAAATCATCACTGCTGCTCTACCATAAGAGATATCGAAACAATTTAAATGCAGTGTTTTGAATCAGATATCCTACATTTTAAATTAAAAAAAAATATCTTCCCAATTAATAAGAACAAACAATAATATTAAAAAAACAAATTTATGACCTTTTTTCACGCCGCAGCTTATTTCGTGCAGCTAGTTAAAATGTAAGAAACAATGAATTTTTGGCTTAATTTTTAATTTTTTTTTTTATTTTGGCTTTGGTATTGGTAGCTTATGTATATTTTAAAAGTTTCTTGGCCTGATCACACTAAAATATGAAGTTATGGGGAAATAAGTAAAATAGGATCGCGAATTTCTATTAAAATACGATAATTAGTTCTCTTTCAATTTAAGACAGAAAAAAAAATCACCGTGGTACTACGAAAATGTTATTCTTAAATCGCACATATATAAAAACATAAATTAATCGTTTGTCCGTGAAGATTGGGCCAAACATAAGGGCCGAAATGCACCGAATACATTTTTCAGTGAACATTAAGTTCATTACATGGACCAAAAAAAAAGTGAAATCATTAACAAACGTCTGCCAAATTTGTTATATAGATAGAGCACGAAATAAGAAACAAGTGTAGTGCCGATTTAATACGCCTCTTGTTGCAAAAATACATCTATAAGGCTCTAGTAGTATGAAAAGAGCCATTTATAAGGAAACCAGCACAGGAGCAACATCAAAACTTTTCATAGGAGCTTATAATTCGTCCGATTTTCTTTTGGAATGTTTTTATCTTTACCAATAAGTAAAAGTTTAACTAATTTAATCCTGATGACAGTATAAATTATTGGCGGAGACCCAATATTGAGCTAGAAACCAAACACTTGCAAGCTACTCTGAAGCAAGGCGGCGATCGTGTCTTATTTGGGCCTAAATGGCTTCCTGTAGAGTAGGAAACCAAATTTTTTTGGCAGGATCTTGGAAACCAATATGTTCCCTTCAATATAAAATGTTAACTTCTTTCAAAATGTAGAAAACGTGGTCACACGGGATAGTTTGCAAAACTATTAGTACAGCGGTCTCTACTACTTATCGGACTTTCGGAAGCTTTAGCTCACACAAAACGGTCCTAATGACAAAAAAACAACATCAATGTCACCCAGACATAATCATTATTTAAAATTTTTAGCAAATATTGGACTAGCCATCCCAAAAATTAAAAGTTTTGACCAAAATTATCAAAAAAGTAGTGCCTTAGAGGAATTGATTAAAATTAATCTAGAAACATTAAAAAAACTAGTTAATTCAATTGAAACATCATCTGAAAGGTATTCAGAATAAAATAAGAGGTCACATAAAATTGTTTATATTAAATTAATAAAAATAAGTTGAATCAAACGAAGTGCACGAAATAAGCTGCGGCATGAAAAAAGCCCTCAAATTAGTTTTTATTAAAATACAAAATCGTTTTTATAATTAGGAAGATTGTCTTTGTTCAGTATAAATTTTAGTACAAGTACTAAAAGTACTGCGTTTAAATATTTGGATTATCTTCAATCGTTTAGCCACAGGGACGTTTTAAATTTTCGTTTCTTGACTGCACGAAATAAGCTGCGATCCACTGTACATAATTACATATGTATGTACAAGGGTACAGTTGCGATTAAATTAATAGCTTTAGGAATTCGAATCTCTTAAGCAGTTTACAATTACTATACGTTTTTTAGTTCTAGAAATTCCAAAACACTTGTAAATAATTTCAAAAAGGGCCCCAACCATAAAGTCAGATCGATCCTCAAAATCCTTCACGGTCGCCACTCTATCCTCTGTGTATTTTGTTATATGCTAGACTTTGGTAAGCAAATCTTTTGTACGCATTGATTCATCCCAAGAATCGCATCTAGTACGAGTTATTTAGTGCTTATATCTTGACCGCCTTTGTTTAGCGTAAATACGTACGACAAGTGCTAAAACGTAAAGCAAATTGCGCTCGACGCCCGAGAGACCAGGAAGCGAAAAAAATCTACGTTCGACAAAGATTGATGTAAAAGCGAGATGCCGCACAGTACGGGTCTCCTATGTACATTGGTGTTGGTGCGAGTGAAAGCGCACGTGTCCCTGGGGAAGATTATGTGTGCCAGTGTGTGTGTGTGCGAAATACACTTCCGTCTATTGTGAATGACGAGGCGCGAGCAAGTTGCCTTGTTGCCATCTTTGTTATCGTTTGTTGTTGCCTTTTGCTTCTGTTTTCTGTTGACTTGTGACATTTACACGGCACACACACCACTACACTAATACTTACGCCTTTTCTTGGCAGAATTTTCTCCGCTCGCACAAATTGCGACATTTTTAGCTAAACAAAAGTTGCACGTCAAAATGCTAATTCCGATCAGAATCTGCTTTATCATCCACTGCGGGACCTTTGTTCCAACGCAAAATCTAGACTTTTATTATCAGTGGCATTGCCACAATTTATACGCGGGGGGTCTAAATATTTTCCGGGGGTGGAAATGTAACAAGTTACTTTTATAAAGTATAAAAAACAATATCAAAATCATAATCTGGTTTATTTTAGAAAATATCGAATCTCTACTTTGTTTTTTTTAGTTTACTATAGATAAATATGGGATATATTTCATAGAAATATTAAGATCGTTAGTGGATATAATAATTTTGCTTGAAAAATGAAAAACCCTTCTAGATCCGCCACTGTATTACTGCCTATATAGTGCCTATATAGTGCCACTGACCTAGGCAGACGATGACGTGTTCTGTAACTGATTATACTTTTTGTTCGCTTTGGATTTGTTACAGGGAATCGCTGAATGGAAAATAGCTTGTGTCGATTGTTTTTACTGTTTGTCGAGATTACAAATGTCGATCATTTAAAGTTCATAATAATGGCGTAGGATCGTTAGATCGTTTGAAAACAACGCAATATATCGGTTTCGGGTTTTTCCTTAAGTAGTTATTGGATGACATTTATAAAGATATAGCTACGTCACGGCAAACTTTCGTGTATTTCATAATTTTGCGTCACATCATTGTTCAGATAAAACTTTATGGGTAATCTACCCTTGGAGACGTACAGTTGATAGTCTAATATACCCAGATAAGCTTGAGGTCGACGTTTATTTTTGGTTTTAGTTTGTAGGAAGTGGATTTTATTAAACAAAGCTATATAAGGAGAATAAGGTGGGGTGCCTAGGTTTCATTCATTGTGAAATTAGGTGAAGGATATATTAGATAGTGTCTAAATGCTTTGAAGAATATTGTTTCTTCTGAAACTATTAGCTTTGCAACCTTTCGTTAGTAAACAATTAAATCTAATAAATATTAGCTGGTTTAATTTTCTAACAATTGCCAAGACTCCAACTCAAATGTTAGAATGCTCAATTATTTAGTTTAGTTTCGCTTCCGTACTGTAAATTCCTGCTAAACGTTTACATAAAATGTCATTCGAAATTTCGCAATAGACTTTCAGTTTATCAATTAGATGTCAAATCAAATAAAAATCCCAGCAATTAACAAGTCCGACAAACTGCCACCGGACAGAGGCCTATTTCAGTTGCCGCCCCTCCCCACCTGCCTTTTGCCATGATCGATTTCAGCCGCTGGGGGGTTTTTGGCCATGCTTAGTTGTTGGCTTGAAAATTTCCCATTTCTGATTAACACCTCGGCGCGCACAAATAAGTTAACAGAGAAAAATAAAATAATGACCAATGGCGAGCGATCAAGCCGATTGCAGCCGCACGTATTTGGCCGCAAACAGAGTTCGCTGAAAATGTTTCTCTGTTTCGAGTGGTGAATGAGTGAATGAGTGTGTTGTGAATGAGTCACTTTATCACACGACGAGGCTATGGATTGTTTGGCAAGCGGGAAAAAACCCTGCGACTGAGTAAACAGAACGATAAAATACCCCGGGAATTAAATGAAGTCAAACTTGTTTTCCTAGATTTTATATTGTATTCACATTATAACATTTCCCTTAATGGAAAGTTTGATTCATATGTTACAAGTTGATTAAAATAAGGTAAAAATCCTTAGAGTTTCCAACAAAATATATCTAGAAAATCCAAAAATTATAATGCATTCATCTTACATGATTTGGCATTTTTTCATAAATTTCTTCTTGATAATTGCTGGGAAATTTTTAAATTTTGTTTAACTAAATTTATTACTTATTCCTTAATTTTTTTTCTTATTTTTTACAGTAAATGAAAAGTAGTACACGCAGTGCTCAATGAATGAGAATGAGACCCAGTCGACAGGACCCAAGAAGACGATGTTGATTGAGTGCATTTCGCGTGACATTCCCTGAAAGATTCTTCAGAAGCGCCTAGATTAAAATAAGTAAAGGCTATAAAAAGCTATAATAGTGTTTAGGAGGCAGCAGCACCCACAAATGAACTTCAATCCGGCCAGCGTTGTAGCCGCCGCAGCAGCAGCCGCCCACCAACATCCCACTGCGCACCATCATCATCATCATCATCCTTATTTAAGCCACCACCAGCCGTTGCAGCCCCTGCAGCAGCACCACTCCCAGCAGCAGCAGCAGCAGCAGCAACAGTCACAGCCACAGCAACAGCTGCTGATTCCATTGCCCGGCGGTGCTGGAGCCGGAAGCATCCCAGCGGGCGGTGGCAGCGGCGGTGGTGACACATCGCCCAAGATCATGGAGTGGACAAACGACGATGCCCTGGAACTAATCGAGCAGTATCGCTGCCACACCGAACTATGGAATCGTGCCGATCCCAAGTACAAGGATAAGCTATGCAGATTCCGGGCCTGGTCAGAGATTGCCGAACGCTTTGGCTGCAGCAAGGCGGAGGTCGAGCGGAAGATGAACGTGCTCCTGACCCAATATCGGCGGGAGAAGCACAAGATGTTCGTGAAGATCTATCAGGGCATCCAGCCCAATCCGTCCAAATGGTATGCCTTCAAGCGATTCGATTTCATGGAAGCAGGCGGCGGAAGTCTCAGTGCCAGTGGCGGTGGTGTCTCAGGTGTTAACACCTCCGGTGGCAGTAATCTGGTGCCCAACCCTGTATCCTCGTCAGCAGCGGCTGCTGCTCACAATGGGTTAAACGGCCTAGCAGCAGCTGCTGTGGCAGCAGCGGCCTACGAGAGTGGTACCATAGCGGCGGCGGGCAACGGAGGAGCACCAGGTGTGGGTGGCGGAGGTGGATCCGGATCACAGCCCGCCATGCAGCACAGACGCATCAAGACCAAAGAGATGAAATATTTCGGAACGGTGAGTAATGTTTATGGAATTATAATATAAGTATGAGGGAAAAGTTAAAGGGAAATCTAAATTGAAAGTGGATTTCCCTATAATTTATATTCAATTACTTAGTTTTTCAATTTACATATATTTAAAAGTGAGAAAAATATTAAAACTTTCAAATACACCTGGTTTTTACTTTTTCCACGAAAAATAAATATACAAAATAAAAATATAAAAGGTTATTAACTTTTTCAAAAAGTCGTCAAATTAACCAGAATTGATTACAAAAGTTATCTTGTTTGCCATAAAACAAATATTTTTATTTGATTGAGTAAAAATCCTTATCAATTGGTTGCAAAATCAAAGTCCATTTCGGAAAATGATAAAAAATTAACCAGAATTAAAACATAGCCTTAACCCTAGAGGGTCAATAAACAAGCGATTAACAGGGAATTCCAATCAATTTTAAAGCTTATTTATAAATATTCACTGCTTAAATAGAACTTATTTACTTAAAATTCAAGCAATGATTGATTCTACTGATTCTACAGAAAAATGTTTGAATCGTTTTTGTTCAAGATTAAATCTAATTCTAAGAAAATACCCTGTAACACGTGTGCCTAACTTGTTTTTGTGCTTAGCAACCAAAATTTCCTCTTTATTTTGTTTGAATTTATTTCGCCTCTTATCAATCGAAATTTTTGACAGACAAGTGAGGAAAAAAAGCGTTTCTAGTGTTAATTTCAATCAAAACAACTTCTCGAATTAACTGTGAAATCAGAAGGGAGGGGGAGAGAGAGCGCCTGCGTCGAAGAGAGCTGGAGCCTAAGAGAGCAAGAGAAATCGCAGACAAACATGTGCGCAAGTGACTTGCTGTTTTTGCACCGGAGCGCCAAAAGCTCCACCACACTCACACTCTCTCCAACAGCCCCACTCTCTCTCTATCTGGCATTCGTGTGCGCTTGCTTGTGTGCTTTTTTGTTGTTGACGATCAAAACAGAATTAAAATTTTACGCATAAATTTTTCTTAGAAATGCGCAGTGGTGTGTGTGTGAGGCATTGGCCCCAGCTCCCCCTCCCTCAATCCCCCTCTCTCTCGCTCTCTTTCCCCCACACTGTCTGTCTCCGTGCGTTGTTGGTATTTTTGTTGTTATACCCTTGCAGGGTATTATAATTTCAGTCAGAAGTTTGCAACGCAGTGAAGGAGACCTTTCCGACCCTATAAAGTATATATATTCTTGATCAGTATCAACAGCCGAGTCGATCTAGCCATGTCCGTCTGTCCGTCTGTCCGTCTGTCCGTCCGTCCGTCCGTCCGTCCGTCCGTCCGTCTGTCCGTTTCTACGCAAACTAGTCCCTCAGTTTTAAAGCTATCTGAATGAAACTTTGCATATAGTCTTCTATATGCACTCACTGCTATATATGTCGGAACGGGCCGGATCGGACGACTATATCATATAGCTGCCATACAAATGTTCGATATATTTCTAGAAAAAAATTTATAACTTTGCTGTTTTTCAACATTTTTGCACCATTTTTTAGATATGGCCATTCTATATTATTTCAGAATTTTGGTAAAAATTTTATCAATATCGGACGACTATATGATATAGCTACCATAGGAACGGTCGAGAAATAAATAGGAAAAAAAATTATAGTTTCGTTGTTTTTCAACGTATGTTTATCTACTCTGAGATATAATCTTTTTTTATTATTCTAGAATTATGGTATAAATTTCATAAAAATCGGACAACTATATCATATAGCTGCCATATAAACCGATCGGTAGATGTAGAGAAAATGTAAAACTGGGAATGTAAAACTGTAACTGTCAAACTGTAAACATAATAAGTATGGGGAAAATGTAATGAAACTCTGTTTTGTGAGTGTTTTCAGCATTTAAATCTATAATATAAACATCGAAACCAATCTGCAAGGGTATACAAACTTCGGCGTGCCGAAGTTAGGTTCCTTTCTTGTTTTTATTTGCGTTGTCGCGCCAGGCAAGCAAAGTGTACGAGGGGGAGGGAGAGGAGGTGTGTATTGGGGGGCCCTGACATTTCGTCGCCGCTCTTCTTCTGCTTCGCCTTCTTCTTTCCATTGGTGTGTGTTATTGTTACTTGTTGTTGTTGTTGCTTTTGTTGTTTATGCCGCTCTGTATGATGAAATGTTTGTTTTGCACGGCGAAATGTGTTGGCGACTGCGACGTCGACAGCGACAGCGGCAGCGACGCTGGCTACACTTGCTACAGCGATTTTTGTTTTTTTATTTGGGCCTCCCATTTGGTTCCGTTTGTTATTTGGAATACACTGACTGAAAAGGTTGAGTTATTATTCAAGAAGAATAAAATTTCGTGGGGATCCAATCTCCATCTGGATAAGGTTCTTTTTGTAAATAAAAAAGTGTAAAATACGAAGAAAATTTGTTTTAAAAAATCAAAAGGTATAAAATCTCGGGATCTGCAAAAGCTAGAGTTATCAATTTTAGGATGTGAATTTTAAGACGATGAAGAAGACGATATAAAATGATGGTTAATATAATATCCTCCTTTTAGATACTAATTCTTTAAATATAAACTTTAATCTTGAAAACTACAAAAGCTATAGTTATAAATTCTGGTATGTGAGCTAAAAAGAAAACCTCAAGTAGAAAAAAATATTCACAGGTAAAATGTTCCAGGTAACATAACTAAAATTGCTCTAAACAATTCATCATTTTACCTTTATGTGCTGGTGTCTCTCTTTAACAAATAATTAATTTTACTAACTACTAGTAGCTTTTGAATCTTGAAACTTTGCCATAGACTTTTAGGTCCTTGTTTTTATTGTTGCTGTAGTGACGTTTTTGTTTTGTGGTTACCACCCAGTGAATTCTTTCCCCTCTTATGCTTTGGCTGCGGCTCTGGTTTGGGGACTGTCCTTGTCCGGGCGTGATTCGTTCTTCGTTGGAAGCTTTTGTTTTTACTTGGCGCTCTGTTGTTTGTCAGACTTATCAAAACAAAATGCCAGGAGTTGTAGTTGTTGCTGCTGCTGCTTCTTCTAGCCTGTTTTCGTTCGCTTTTTGCTGCTGCTGTTTTTCTGAAAAACAAATGAAAATTTTTACCAAGGAAAAGAGAATATAAAACTTGGCGCCTGGACTTTTTGTGAGGTTTTTTTGTTGTTTTTTTCGCCCTGGCGTGGCGTGGGAGTGGGTGGTATTTGGGGGCGTGGCCCGGCTAAATGCATGCAACTTGTTTGTCCAAGTCATGTCACCTTTGCTTTCTAGTTTTGTGGTTCCCATAACGCTTTTTGACATTTATGGCCATCCAAATAGGGACGGAGCTCTGACAAGAAATATACAGAGAGTTTAAAAAGTGAGTCGTTTTTAAAATGAATAACTAATTGCATTTTGAAATTATTAAAAGTTGCTTAAACTGAATTATATGAAAGTTCTTTTGTTTTTATTATTCTATAAAAATAATATATTATTTAATGAAGTTTTAATATTTAATTAAAACATATAATTTATATTTGTTTACATTTAGAGAATGCTTCATCGCTGAGTAATTTATATTTATAGCATTTTAATCGACTATTTACCTTTATTATCACTTATAAATTGATTTACTTATCAAATGACTAATATTCTGATACCTTAATTACCAATCGATTTATTTCCGATTACGTTAAGGTGAAAAGTTGTTGAATTTTCAAGGCTTTAAACTTAATAGGATTACTATACAAGTGGTTTAACTAAATTCTCAAGAAATCTTTCATTTCCTCATTTTTTAAAAGTATATAGTTAAAAGTAAATGTTAGTTTAGTAACAAGTGGCAAGTTAACGTCGAACATTTCTCATTCAATTGTTCTTTAAGATTTCGGTTATTATTTTACTTAATTAAATCATTTATTCGACGAATTCTAAAGATTTGTTTCTACTTGGTTTGGACAAGACAAAATCGGTTCTGACCAGACAGCTGCCTTCTTTTCCCTTTTAATTTTGTTATTTAATTTCTCAGTATTTCTTTTCTTTTATTTTATGTTTTGTTTTGTTTTGGCTTTAGTCTCGTGTTGTATTATTTTTTTTTTTTTTTCTGTTCCTGCGTCATTATTATTTGCGTGTGCAGGCACCAACAACGACGCCCACGCCCTCTTTTTAGACGCCGCCCACCAACGGATTTACCACCCTCTCCACCCCCCGTTATTGCCACGCCACCTAAAGCCAGCCCACTAACAGCCCAACGCCCACTTATTGTTATGTATTTTTTGTTCATATTTTGCAATTGTTTTGCTTCTGCAGTATTTTCCTCAAGACAAGTGAACAACAAGAAGAAACCAACAAAAACAATAAGAAGAAAACAATATAGTTGCTGTTGTTGTTGTTGTTTCAGTTTGTTGTCCCGCAATGTTGTGGCTAAGCTAGCTAGACTCACGCACTGCGACCCATCCGCAACCACCCACCCACCGCCTTCTGTTTATATCCCACGCAAACTTTTACACCTGAAAAAAGGTTTAAAAAAATAAAATAAAATTAAAAAAAAATTTTAAAAATGTATAGCTAAAAAGTTGTAAACTGTATTAAATAATTGTTTGTTTAATTTTAGTTTAAAACATTTATATTCAAGTATTTTTTAAATACGAATTTGGGAAATAAGAATAAAGTTTAAGCCTTAACCTTGCATTACACAAATTTTAAGGGTATTTTTGGATTTTTTTTTTTTGTAAAAATAGTTTTCTGTAAGTGCAAATTTTCACTTGTTTGTGTTTCGTATTGTTGCTGCTGCTGCTGCTGGAGCGCAGCAACAGTAGCGGAGTATCAGGCCTGTTTGTTGTTGCTGTAATGCGCGTTGTTTTGTTTTGTTTTGTTTTCTCCTTGCACTGCCTATAACCCTACTATTTTTCCCTCACCCCTTTTCCACCCATCCCCTGCGGTGGGCGGAATGAAAAGTGCAAGGCAAATAAGCAGCAAAACTGCAACAGCGAAGCCGGCAGCGAAGTCGGCGTTTGTTTTTGTTTACTCATTCATTGCAAAGTTGTTTAGAGCCAAGC